GCAAGCGTAATCGCATGCACCCCTGCATACAATTCAAAAAGAAAAAAAAAAATACAAAAAAAAAAACGAACCACATCAAACACAACAACCACAACAAAACAGCGGCACAGAATCGACCCGACGAGCGCCGCCGCGACCCCACGCCCCACCACGAAGGCAAGAGAATAAAAAATATACAAAACCCGCCCCCAGGAAGCAAAACGAAAAACAACAATCGAACGGGCACTCAGAACCCAAAGAAAAAAAAAAAAAGAAAAGAAAAACAACCATCAAGACTGCTGCCATTCGGGTTGGGAATTCTGGAGGAGGTGGTGCGGCGCTTCCGTCCGGAAGTAATCCCTGCGGCGCGGGGCGGCGCAAAACACCACCGGGTTACCAGCTGGGGGAGGGCGGTTTAACCGGGTGGCCGCCGCGGAAACGGGCAAGCGCCGCCCGGATTCGCTATTGGTTTTTCTCGGGTTCGCTGCGGATGTGGTGCCGTTTCTTGGGAAAAGTTGACATTTTTTTTTCTTTTTTTTGGAGGGTGGGTGCTCAAAGGCGTTTATGTGGTGCGTTGTTCTGGAAATCTAGTTGTTTCAACACACCTCCGACCAACAGAACTGTCGTCACTGGATGCGTGCTTGGTTCCTCCAAATTACTTATTGCCAAAAAAACAAATAGTGCACGCGGCTGATTGCATTAAACATCCTCTTGATGATTAAGTTCTTCCTGTTTAATACTACAATAAGAATAAAAAAAAGAAAAAAAAAAAAACGTTGCTGTAGCATCCCCATCTTCAATCTAGAGAATATCCCTGGTATGTGAGACATGGGAAGTGCAATCAACCCAATCTTACATGTTGCCAATGAGATGTGCTCAGGTGAGCCGCAACGCCATTTGTACTAGTTAGGGTTCTAATTGAAGTGATGATCTTGTAGGATGCACAAGTATGACTTCACACATTCGATGGTTCTATAATTGTTTTGTAAATACAAATGAAAAGCAAACAAACAATCATGCCTACAATATCCCAATGCCTGAAATATTTAGTGAATCACCCATCGACATAATAAAAACGGAGAGGTATGGGAATGTTTTTTTTTTTTAATTCTTATTCCCAATTATTGGAGGGATGAAGGTTTATATGCATGGATGATATTACACATGTATTTTTTGTTTGGGGTTTCTTTCCATTACACAATGCAGTATTGTGTAACTAAGGGAAAATAAACACATGACGAGATAATCTTATCTTTGTGCCATTGCCCTCCTGCAATGGGAGGAACAAACAAATTAGTGTGTCTGTGTGCGACCTGTCATCTGGGTGGGGTTTTCTTTTTTCGTAGTGTAGACTGAGAGTAAATATGGAATACTCTCAGTGCTGTTCAAGTGTCCACAAGAATGTGGGCACGATGGGTGGGTATGGAAGAGAAAAAAACAACCACAACTACAACTCTTCTTTATACTTGGATATACTTGAAGAAGAAAAAGATGGACACCAATTACTTGACGTTTTGTTCTTCTGTGTTTACGTTTATCAATACTAGGGTTTGTGTACACCTCAATGTTAAACAAATACCACGCATGGAACACTTAAGTGCACAATTCATTTCCATGACGAATGTTTGCTTACCTTTTGTTACTCTCTTGTAGTGTACATCCCCTTTTCCTGTGGTTACAAATTACTCATGACCAGTAAATATAAAGTCAGCCTGACTTGGTTTAAACCACAATGATTTATTTTCTGCACATGAGAGAATGTGCGAAACCACAATCATGATGTTGGAATTAACGGCACAATGAATGGACTTACGATGAAATCCACTAATGATTTGTAGCTGTGTGTGTATGTCTGTTTATTTTGTGAATTCTACAAAGTGTTAGTGTTTTGTTTTTAAGACTCTTGCGCTGCATTCATCTGGTGGATACGATAAGGGCTAATGAAAGGCTTTGTTTATTTTTTTTTATTGTTACTAACAGTGCCCTCTATCTCTATTTACAGTGTAGTTCACCTCTTGTGTGCTTTCTTTCCGTCTTTTCCTTTCTCCACAGAATAGCTGCAAGCAATCCACCACTAACAAGTAATCAAACAAACCAAGCAGCATGATGAAGCGGATGAACACAGGAGTACAATCGATAGAGCTGCAGTTTTGTAACGAGCAAGAAGAGTACTGCGTGCGTAACGACACACACAACGTGATGCCCTCCGAGCATTATGGGAAATCTGGAACACTGCAACGATGGGAGAAGGAGAAGAATACAACGTCATCACTGTTCCATCAAAGGCTGTCGTTGCAACAGGTGCTGCGTGTCCTTGTGGTGTTATGGCTACTACTGCCCATACCAAACCCATTCCTCTGCTATGCCGAAGCTTTTGGCATACATATTGTGACAAACATTACCGATTGCTTTCCTAATATTGTGGTCTCCCCCAGTCAAACAACACAATACTGCGATGTGGAGAATGCCGAAATTCTGGGTGTATCCAAGTTTATAAGGACTGGGTATTTTAACTCTGTACTAACATTCTTTCCTGCATGGCCACTTTCTGTGAAGGGAAAATATCTCATTTCATTTGTGCCCAACAGTGAAGCTTTGTCAGGGGATATGAAACTTGTCGCTGTGAACAGTATTCCGGGAAAGGCTTATGATCAACTTTCGAACAGATTCCCCTTGAAGTTTATGAATATCAAAGAAACAAAGGCATGGTTTGCTTCTACCAGTGCCTATTATGGGTTGAAGACAACGGCGCGGACAAACTTCCTAAATTCCAGTAACATTCAGAACTACCTGCTGGTTCCTCCTCAGTCAGACTGTGATGCCATGGCAAAAAAATGTAGTGCTGCTACTGGATGCTACAATTTGGCGATTTCTGCACCCTTTCCCATTCCTGGGAACTATTCAGTATGCTTAACAGCGAGTGGATGGCGAGGCCACTACTTGCCGTGGGGTGCAATTCCCCTCGAAGTGAGGGTGCTGGTGCCAAGCGAACTGTATGTGAACGCTCTCGGGAAAAACACGCTGTTGCTCCAGGACGCAGTGACAGGTGCGAATGGGGCTGATATGAACAGTGTGTTCCTGGTGAAGTGCCCAGAGAGTGGGTGTTCACGCGTGAAGCTAAACAGTGGTGATCTAATAGTGAGTGTTGATGTGTGTAATGGGACCGCTGTCACGGATCGTGTGTACTTCTCTGCTGATGGTACTCTCAATTCTACAACGGCAGGTGACTACGCTGCCTGCGCGGATTACGGTGCAGAGGTTGGTATTCCCCCAGCTGCACTTCCAGTAAGAGTATTGCAGGATCCCTTTGCTTTCAGTGTCACTGTGAAGGCAAACACGTCGGTGACGATCAATGTGCGTGGGGGTGATCTCTCATGGAGGAAAGAGTCATATGAAGTGTGTGCGCTGCCACCGGATACACGGTGTGAATCTGTGGCTACTGTCGGGAAATTTCTGTGTCAGAGTAGTCTCTTCCCAAATTCTCCATCTGTTAATTTTGACATCTCGAGTTTGCAAAGTAAGTATAAACTGGGTCCTGACAATGTGACATTTTGCTTTGTTGCATCTAATGTGACATTTAACGGCCGCCGTTATGTTTTGTCGCATGATGTGAGGAAACCGTTTTTTCCGGAGGTTGATTCAACAGCTCCTGTACCGGAGGGTGACTCAGCAGTGGTGCCAAGCTCGAATAAATTATCTGTTGGTGCCATTGTTGGTATTGTTATCGCAGTTGTGGTTGTTCTTGTTATTGTGGCTGTCATTCTGTTTTTTGTACTGCGTCGGCGACAACAACAAGAACAACAACGAAAAGAAAAGGTGCGGAAGGATGCTATGGAGTCTCAGTACACAAGTAAAACAGTTGCCAAGAAGAACACTCGGAACCCTCTGAAATCTGCTACAAGGGCTGGATCTTCAACATATTCTGCTGGATCTAGATATTCATTTGGTTCTGTACAACGTGATAATAACGCCCAGAATACTGATGATACTGTTAGCAGCGTACTGTCTTGGGGTGACGCTGGACGCAGCGAAGGACAGATGCGGGATTCACCCGTACCTTTTTACGATACATATTCAGCACATATTTAGTCCACCGTTACAGAAGTTAATGATGATTAGGGGACTTGTGAGGGAAACTTTCGAGCAGCAACAGAGGAGATATCAGTAGAGAATGAATCGCCTGTCGTTTGCCGAGAGGAGTAAATTATTCACTGAGAGTCTTGAATCATGTATGGGGCATTCTCCGACCGCCTCCGCCAACCTAGGACCCTCTTGAAGAACAAGCTGAGTTTAATCGCTTCCCACAAAGGGGGAAACGGATTTGTTTCCAAGGAAGGCACCGAGAAGAATTATTCACCACTGTGTTTTTGTGTGTGTGAGTGGTATGATGGATATGGAGTGGAGTTCTCTGCAAAAATAGAAGAAAAAACATTCACCAACGAGAGAGTTTGGTTGTGCATTCCTGTGGGTTGATATTACTATTAATGATGGTATGTAGGAATTAGGGAGCTGAGTGCGGTATTTTTTTTGGGAGACCTTTGCCATTGATTGAGTCAAAACAAGGGATATGCATGTGGATTACAGGCACAGGTAATGGTGAGAGTCATGTTAGAATGAGAATCTACATTAAACGAATCCTTTCGCTACTGCTTGTTGTAAATAATGATATGGAGATAACATTGATAACAGCTATGAGGAGGATTGTAACTGCAAAGCAAATGTGGAGAGAGGTAGGGAACAGTGATGAATGGAATGAAGAATAACGGATTCCACTGGAGTCACTGGTGTGAAAAAAAAAAAGAAAAGCAGTACAAGAACAATACCACACGCTGAATGGAACGATTATGACAATAAAGAATGATCGTGAGAAAAGTTTTTCAACACAATAATGAATGCTAATATTGCATGGACAAACAATGGCATTTTGTTCTGCATCGTGTTTGAGTTGCTTGTATTATTTATTATGAGCTACGTGGATTGCACTATCTGCAGAAACGTGATTATTTGATGTTGATGTCTTTGTAAACTGTGTTGACATCTTCTGTTGTAATTACGCTTGCAGAATAGTCAATGGTATCGTTAATAATTTACGACCTCTGCAACGGTGTAAATACCATCACAAAGGAGTGGGCTCATATGAAGATCAAAAAGTGTGTGTATGAGGTCTGTATGCATCAAAAACAAAAACACTCTTCAGTGTAAGAGAACTCTGTGAGATGACAGTAAACCCAACATTGTATAAATAAAAAGAGAAAAAAAAAAACAATAAATAGATAGAAACGTTTCTTTAATCTATGTTATTCCCTCTCTCTCTACCTTTACATTGATTGTCATGGAGTAGTTAGTACCCCAATCGCAATCATATTGTTTTCTGTATTCCGATAAAATGAAAGGAAAAAAGGAAAAAAAATATTCCACTGAAGTGCCACCTGAATGACAGAAAAGAGGAAAAAAACGAGACATAAATGGTCGAGCGATGAAACTAATAATAAAGGAAAAAATGACAATGAGTAATATATTTTATCTTTTTTTCTTTAACTACTGTTGTATGGTGTTAACATCGGTGTCACAGTAGTGTCAAACACTGATAATGATGGTAAAGTGGGAACATGTGAATACACTAAACAGCATGACGTATTATATTTTTTTTTTGTAGATATGAGAAGGTGAACTTGGTATTTGAGTTCCATTTTTTCTTTTTATTTGGGGATTGAGAAACAGTTAGCCTAGTATTCTTTTATATGTTTTTATTATTATATTTTCGTTTTATTTTTCAATCATCGTTACCCAACACCACCTTTCTTTTCCTCGCCTTGAAGAAAAATGAGGAACCGTTTGGCGCACCTGTTTGTGAGTTTACCTAGGTGTGAATTAAAGAGATGGTGACAGTAAAATTAGGGAGGTGTTCTTGCCATTGTGTTTACTTTTTTGATTCTCTCTCTATATATGCCTACTTTTCTTTCCACTCTATTATTATTTTTTATCTGCGTTGGCCCCTGAATACGATGAGGGGGCAATTCTGTAGGATTCTTTTCCATGGTTAACGTCAACTCATTTGCTCTGCTCAGCTCAGAGTGTGAAAGAGAGAAAGTGGGATCATCAGAGTGAGTGTAAACGAAAAAAAAAGGTGTGTAATGTGTATGTGTCTCTCTTTCTCCATAATTTCCTTATTTAGGCAGATAATAGTAAAGTGAACAGGAATAAGACATGGTAATGGTGCAGCAGTGGGTGTGCTCCTTTACGAGTTCATTTGCAGTTGAATAGACAGAACAGCCTGTAAAGGGGAGTATGGTCTGTTTTATTATCAACAATGGGAGTGTTTGATGGTGTATAAGTGAATGCACTGGAGTGGATCAAAAGATTGATATTGAATATGAGGGATGTGATTTGTGTCACCTCTTGTGCGCCAGTTAATCTGTGTTAGTGTGTTTATTATGTCACTCTGAATGGATTGTGTTTCCATTGATGTTTGCAATTGGGCACTCTGTCTGCGGCATTGTTTCTGGTTTGCTATGGAAATGGTGGGTTTGAGTTGTGTTCATTCTAATGGGAGTATACACCGCCGTGAAGGGCAATATTGGTAACTGGGGAATCGCAATCAAACGACAGCAGAACAAGAAATACACTGGATAGCCCAATGGAGTGTGGAACAGTGAAGATGATGAAATGGTGCAGTGATGTAAAGAAGGGGAAATAGAAGTATAGTGGATTGGATAATAACTTTCCTATGCACATACATATACATATTTATTTATTTATTCTGGTGTATTTGCATGTAATAGTATTTGATGCAACTGCAGTTGGTACTCTGCTTCCCTCCCCCTCCCACACATATATACGCACACATTATCTCCTCATTGGGATACTGAATTTCTCAGTTGTGTGTGTGACACTTTGTTTCATTCACCTGACAGATGTTCTGCATATGTACAGCCATAAATTCATTTCGTACACTATTACTCATCCGATTGGGATTTGCAAGGACATTTTGTTTTGCCTTTTTGATGTCTGTGGTATTCTTGCAGATTGTGGTTCCAGATCGGCTGGTAATCAGTGAGGGTTTGTTTAAACAGTTTTAGGGCTGTTACTGCACTCTCTCGTTTGTTTTGTCTCTCTACTCTTTTTTTTTCATTCATTTTGATTTGTTGTTGCAGAAGTGACTCTGCAATCAACAGAAAATCAAAAAATACAGTGAGAGAAAAAGGAATAGAAGTAAAAGAGAGAATGGAGTTTCGTTTGATTAGTGAGGAGATTGATATCACTGTTAAAGAACATACACATGATGA